CCACACCACCCCCAACACCACCCCAACACCAACCAAACACCACCTCCACACCACCCCCAACACCACCCCAACACCAACCAAACACCACCTCCACACCACCCCCAACACCACCCCAACACCACCCCAACACCACCCCCTACAGCACCTCCAATACCACCCCAACACCACACCCACACCACCCAAACACCAACCAAACACCACCTCCCCCTACACCACCCCCAACACCACCCCAACACCACGCCCACACCACCCCCAACACCACCCCCACACCATGCCCACACCACCCCAAACACCACTGCCAACACCACCCCCACACCACGCCCACACCACCCCAACACCACCCCAACACCACGCCCAACACCACCCCTAGCAGCCCACAGAGGGCTTTCTCCTGGCGCCCACCCCGGCTCTGAGCAGGAGCAGAGGGTACTGTGCTTAGCTGTCTAGGGTGGGCCCTGTCACAGCCCGCTGAGGTAGGAACGACATGAGGCTCGAGCTCAAGGTCACACAGCTCGGCGATGCAGATCCAAGGTGCAGTCCCTGGGCTTCCTGCCAACCTCGCCCAGCTTCCCAGGGGTGTCCCAGGCTCCAGGACGCCTGAGCTGGGGAGGAGCTGGATGCCAGCCAAGAGCCAGCCAGATTCCCAGGCCAAGTCGAGTCTGAGCCAGGCGGGTCAGCAGTGCCAACGGGCGGATGGCCACAGCCAAGACATCCTGGGCCCCATCTCAGAGCCCAACGCATGCTGTCAGTCCCAAGAGTGAACATAGAGGGACCTCCCTTTCTCATCCAGCCCGGGCAGCAGGGAGACTGGGAGCTGGGGGCGCTGAGCAGGGAGGGGGCAGGGCTCTGACCCAAGAACCTACGTCCCTCTGTACCAGTTTCCCAAGGCTGCCGTAACAAATCACCACAAACCTAGTGACTTAACACAAGTTCATGCTGCGGCTCTGGAGGTCAGAAGTTCAAGTCAGGGCTCTGGCTGGGCTGTGTTTTCTCTGGAGAGAACCCACCCCCAACCCGCGCAGCTTCAAGAGGCCGCCTGCTCTCCTTGGCGCATGGCCCTTTCTCCACCTTTGAAGCCTCTCCAAACACTGCTCCCTTCTCAAGTCAGCTCTTCCTCGGCCTCCTTCCTACAGGGATCCTGTGACCACAGTCAGGACTCGCCTGGAGAATCCGGAGCCATCTCCCATCTCAGATCCTCTGCTTTCTCATGGCTGCAAAGTCCCTTTTGCCATAGAAGACACATTCACAGGTTTGAGGATTTGAATATGGGTGTGTCAGGGATCTTTCCTGAGCCCACATCAGCCCCTCCCTGGACATCTGCCCCGAGACTGGCTGTGCTCTGGAAGCCATGGTCCTGGGGAGGAGAAAGCCAGGCTCCCTGGCTCGACGGGGCCACAGTCCCAGGAAGGGGGCCTTGCCAGGACCCTGGTGACCATGTAGCAGGACGGGACGAGCCGCAGACAAAACTACTCAGACACTGGATTAAAGAAGGAAGAGGTTTTTTATTCGGCCGGGAGCGTCGGCAGACTCGCGTCTTAAGGGCTGAGCTCCCTGAAAAAGAAATTCTTGGCCTTTTTAAAGGCTTACAACTTTAAGGGGTCCACGTAAAAGAGTCTGATAAATCGAGCAAGCGTGGGAAACGTGACTGGGGGCTACATGCATCAGCTAACAGAACAAAAAGTTTTACAACGCTTTTTTCATACAGTGTCTGGCGTTTATAGATAACACAAGTAGTTTTGGTCACGGGTTGATGTTATTATTATTACTTTTTTCAACTCCTAGGGCCGGGTGGTGGTGCCAAGGTTGTCTGGCTATTTATTTTACTTTTGTTTCTTTCTTTTTGCTTTCTCTCTTTCCTCCTGTCTTGTGAACTAGGCAAGGTGGGGGGAGGAGGGCAGCAGGAGTAGTAGTGGTCTCCTTCCTTAGCCACAGTCCAGAAGTCCGTACCACAGAAGAATTCAGGACCCTTTGCCCGTGCTCATCACGAGAAGCCAGGCAGAGGCTTGTTCCCACTCTGTCTCTCCCGCACCCCTTGGGTCTGCCCACACCCAGGTCTCCTCGCCATCAAAACTGACCAAGACCAGGGTGCAGTGCCTGACTCAACTCATGGGACAAACCCTAACCACGCCTCCCTCTCCCGGGAGCTCTGGCCACTCCCACATAAGGACACGCAAGGATACAAG